TTTGCAAGCCATGCAGCATGCGAATTAAGTCCAAGTGGTGAGTTCACCCAGAAGTGAGTGAACTTGCCGCTTGGACTTCACTCACGCACAGACCGCTGGTACAAACCACACAAAACTCCGTGGAAAAGCATGGAGCTCCATTGCTGGCGTGATCGCATGACCCTTGGCTCACGAACCAAAAAAAGGGTGATTTTCATCATGAAATTAGGTTCATGAGCCCGTGTGTGCCCATCCCTAGTTATTGATACTAGGTGTTCTAAAAAAAACTAAACCGGAATCATCGTTGATAACTTCCCTTTTAAATGTGAGAGTTTAATTGTGTTTAACTTCAGATGCTGGGGGTAGTTCCTGATAATTGTTATTTTGCTAAATTCCTTATGTTCAGTGTTTGTTTAGATAATATATAGCTTACTAGAGTCTCAAGAAATCTCAGCAGGGCTTTCATAGCACACACTGATTCTGCACTGATCTTCGTTTACCTAATTTCATTTCCTCATGATACCTTCCTGTCTCCATTGTTTGTGTTTATTCTTGCTTTCTTTGCCACTACACTGAAAAAGCTGCATATGCTGCACTGAAAAAAAAAATCAGCCACCATTACTAACATACATTTTACTAAACAGAGGTGTGGGGGGAGGACTGCTCTGAGAAATTGCTGGGCATGGAATTCTAACTTCCTTGTTTAATGGTGTATTGCCAAGGTAATTGCAATGCCCTCAAAATCTGACCAGAGGTGGTGACAACTACTAGAAGGTACACTCTGAAAATGCATGTTTGCTGTGTTGCAGATGTGGATGTGATTTCAAAGCTGGCACAGCTTGAATTCCGGTTTGGAGATCCAGAACATGGCAAGGCCATTTTTGAGAACACCCTGAGTACATACCCAAAACGCACAGACATCTGGTCAGTTTATATAGACATGATGATAAAACATGGCAGCCAGAAGGAAGTACGGTGAGTACTAGCATGGGTTAGAAGGCCAAGACTTCTGAGCCATCCAGGAAATGATGCGATTATAACACAGGAACTGCCTGTTGGCCTTGATTTTAAGAGAAATTAAATCAGACTGCAAGATCTGATCATTTGAATGCAGGGGGAGCAATATTACAACACTGAGAGGGGTTCAGAATGAGGGACTGGATTAATGGAAAGCATTAAGAACCTGCATTAGGCCTATTACATGCAGTGGGAAACCATTCTGGCAAATCGTTTTGATGATGTGACCATAGAAGGCCTGAAAGCAGGACCTGCTCTGATGTTGTTAGAGCCTTTTGAACAAAAAGACTGTGTGCTGAGAATTTAAAGTTTCCAAGGGCCTACCAGCTGTTTTTCTGTTTTGTTTTGAGCTAAGGAGGGCTGGGTTTCTAGTGAAAACAGTTGTGCAGTCTTGGTCCTTGCTGGCTTTTGGGTCCCCCTCTTAACCAGGTGCTGAAGATGGTAAGGAAGGTTAGGATCCAGGCCATCTGCTTTCTGTTAATTGGCTTTCTATGAACAGAAACCAGGATCTGACAGCATGTTGATTTCTGCGTGAGGCAAACAGCTTCGAGAGAGAGAATGAATGTCCCCCCCCCATAAAACTGGGTAGAATATTGAGTTCATACTTTGTTCTGAACAGCCTTTTGCGTTTTCACAGGGAAGTTTTTGAACGAGTAATACACCTCAGCCTAGCACCAAAGAAGATGAAGTTTTTCTTTAAACGCTACCTAGAGTATGAGAAGAAATACGGCACAGCAGAAACAGTCCAGGCTGTGAAGGCAGCAGCACTGGAATATGTGGAATCCAAGAACAGTCTTGCTGAGAGTTGATTCGTGTACCAGACAGACTTTGGGGTCTTGCTTGCTAGTAAGCAGAGAGGTATGGCAGAGCTGTCAGGAGGAGGAAGGCTGTCTCTGCTTGCTGGGCTTTCCTGGTGGTCTCAACAGCAGATTGAGTTAGCCCTGGACCAAATTAACGTGACTCATCTGGAACTGTTTAAGAGCACAGGCCTTATAAATATTTGTATCTTTGCTACCTTCTCATGATGTTTCAATGAGGACTGCTTCAGAATCTTTATTTAAAAGAAAATTAACATGAAGAAAGCTCACAGATTTTATGTACAGATTACTTAAATGTAATAAAACGATATGAGGCTTTTCCTTACACTCTTTTTTTCCCTTATAGTTATACATAAAGGTAATGAAGAATGCTTATTTTCCTTTAATAGTATTTCTGGTTTAATTCGTTCACTCATTGTTGCATGAATTAGAAATTTGTGCTGTCTGGTTTTGGGAGGACTTGTTAACTTCATAGCTTTTCTACGAAACCTTGAAATTCTTTTGGTAAAAACCGTAAGAACATAAGAGATGCCAATGTTGGATCAGGCCAAAGGCCCATCCAGTCCAACACTCTGTATCACACAGTGGCCAGAAATACCAGTGTCATCAGGAGGTCCACCAGTGGGGCCAGGACATTAGAAGCCCTCCCACTGTTGACCCCCCCAAGCACCAAGATGACAGAGCATCACTTGCCCCAGAGTCCCTATCTATACCTTGTGGCTAATAGCCACTGATGGACCTCTGCTCCATATGCTTATCTAATTCCCTTTTGAAGCCGTCCATGCTTGAAGCCACCACCGCTTCCTGTGGCAGTGAATTCCAAGTGTTAATCACTCTTTGGGTGAAGAAGTACTTCCTTTTATCCGTTCTAACCCGACCGCTCAGCAATTTCATGGAGTGCCCACGAGTTCTTGTATTGTGAGAAAGGAAGAAAAGTACCTCTTTCTCTACCTGCTCTAGCCCATGCATAATCTTATAAACCTCAATCATGTCACCCTTCAGTCGCCGTTTCTCCAAGCTAAAGAGCCCTAAGCGCCTTAACCTTTCCTCATAGGGAAAGTGTTCCAACCCTTTTATCATTTGAGTTGCCCTTTTCTGCACTTTTTCTAAAGCTATAATATCCTTTTTAAGGTGTGGTGACCAGAATTGCACACAGTATTCCAAATGAGATCGCACCATTGATTTATATAGGGGCATTATGATATTGGCTGATCTGTTTTCAATACCCTTCCTAATAATCACCAGCATAGCATTGGCCTTCTTTATTGCAGTCACACACACTCTCGACATTTTCAGTGAGTTATCTACTACAACTCCAAGATCTCTCTCTTGATCAGTCTCTGCCAGTTCAGACCCCATCAACGTTTATATTTAGGAATTTGGCTCCAATGTGCATCACCTTGCACTTGACCACACTGAACCCCATTTGCCATGTTGACGCCCATTTGCCCATCTTTGACAGATCCCTTTGGAGTGCCTCACAATCCTCACTGGTTTTCACCACCCTGAAGAACTTCGTATCTTCTTCTGGGTTGCAGCTATTATGGTGATCCCACTGCTTTCTTTAGTTTAGGTTCTTCACTGTACTGTGCCCAAATCAGATGGTTTCTCTAAATGTGCTGTCTCCCATGTGCATATGGGTTTTTCATTCCTTAAATCAGCTCAGTAGTAGTGTGACTTGCCAAAGTAACCATAATTTATGCCTTTTCCGTGTGCTAGTGGTGGGGGTTAGTATGCGTAGGAAAACTAGCTAAAGATACAGATTTTGGCATCCAACAGGCATGTGTGAATCTACACTAGTTTAAGGTATCGTGTAATAGAACTCTAAGGGTTTTATGTTATTGTCAGCGCTGAAAAATGCATCATACCTTTTGAATATCTGACAACCAAAGATATTCATAACATGTTGACAAGATGTAATTGTTGGCATTTACCGGTGTTAACACTAACAAATTTTGAAATTTATATATATGTTTATTAGAAAATATTTGTGCACATGCTGACAATGTAGTATCCTGAGGTAAATAAGGCCAATTCAGATAAGAGTTTAAAGGCATTGCAACATCTTTAAAAAGACACAGAGAAAGAACAGACATAAAATCAAACTAAGTTATTTTGGAGTCCTCAGAGTCCCTCAGTTATGAAAAGAAAGAACTTTGCTGCTTTTCCTCAGCATAAGCTGGTTGGTGGCTCCATCAACAGGTACTGCCTGCATATACAGGAACTGAGTTGTGATTATGGTTTTTGCTGAGAATATTGTACATTTATACTTTAGCAAGGATTAGAAGAGAATGACATGGTGCACTGACTGAACCTAACGAGTTTTTTTAGTGGGGCAGGATAAGAATGGCTGCTTGTTTTCTGATTAATTTTCAAATATTTACTATTCTACATAAACTGTAGGGATCACTATTTATCTCTTTTCTGCCCTTTTCCTTACAACAACATGACTAGTCTTTATGCTGGTGATAATGGTTCTGCTGTCAGGGATAGTTTTGATGTTTCAACATAATCTTGATAAATACTATGATATTATACCTGTTCATTAATTGCAGCCTTCAACCTTTGAACCAAGTGATACCATTTTTGTACAGTTTCCTACTCATATGATTGATTAGAAACATCTAATCCAATGTTTAATAGGCCAAAACTTTCCTTACCTTTTAAAGATGGTTAGAATGTACAAGTAAAATAAAATATTAATGTAATATATTGAATATATAATCCAGTAGTGTTCCCATGTTCATTTTAGGACTTCTTAATAACTGTTTTAAAGGTTATTCACATAAGGATTGTTGATCTTGAATGTAGGACCAGTCTGCAACTGAAGGCAGGGGATGATACAAAAATGCAAGAGAGGCTGGTGGTCTAACAACAATCTGGAACCAGTATGGTTTAAGTAGATCTTACATACACAAAGATATAAGGGGTTGAATACATCCTCAACTCAATATGGCAGCACTTGGTTACCTAGAAAGTTGAAATGAAACTTGTCATAAAGATATTTTACTAAAGCACTTTGCCCCTGCCTGCTATACCTAATCCTTATCTATAAGATGGATTGCATTGGTATTATAGCGGAAACTGAATCTCTGCTCTTCTTCACATGCATACCTTGCTCCTTCTGAAAGCATGGCCTCAAATTTTTGAAGGCTTGCAAGATTTCTAGCTAAAGAGGGGGGGGGGGGGGAAATAGGGACCTGCCAAGAAATCATGGGTTGAAACTGTAACAAAACCACTGTGGAGAACAGAATTTCAAATATGAATAAACCAATTGTGTGTCTATGTATTCTATGTACTTATATTTCTAAAGAAATAAGTACACCGAATACATCTGTACACGAGATTGGTTTATTCATATTCTTTATCTGAAATTCTGTTTTACCTCAGTGGTTTTGTTACAGTTTCAGCATTTGTACACTGTGTTGCCTTATTCTGATAAGAAATCATGGGTGACAAAGAATAAGTGATTGGGAATTTCCTCCTTCAGGGTAACATATATTAAAGGTATTGAGCCTGACTAACTTTCCCTTCCCATTTCCTTTTTCCTCCTCTAACTGATCTCTGTACCTATGACAGGGAAACCTGAAGGCTCAGTCTTCATCAGGGTTGTGTGTTTGTGTGTGAGAGAGAAGGCGGGGGCTTTCTTAAAGTAAAATGTTTTTCTGCATGCCTGAAGAATCCCCTGACTATGTAGCTAGCAACCCCTGCCTTGTCTATGGATGGCCCCATCTGCTATCTTCCAAGTAAAGATGGCTGTATTTGCTAGACCTTCAGAGCAAGAAATTGTGCTTCTGTTATGTAAAGTGCAGCAATGTGGAAAACCCATAATTATAAACAAGATTTCCAAGTGCAATAGTACAGGCGTGCCATTTCAAAGCACAGTATCATTGATCAAAGGAGATAATTCGGTCCAGTTCTGTTTTTTAAAACCAAATTAAGGGAAAGCTGAGCAGCTGCCACTTGCAAAGACGGAATTCCACAGTCCCATCTCCTCCAAACTTAAATCATGCCAGGCAACAGTAAAGTTCCTGAGTTAGTCATCTATGTTATCACTGGTGGCTTTCTCTCGATGTCCACACTCTGGTTTCAGTCTTCCTAGAGGAAAGCTACTAAAGAAGTACAATTTAGGTAGCAGCAGTCAAAATAATAAGCTTGGTAAGATTGTTTTGTGCCTTAAATGAGGATAAACCTTGCTGCTACACATGTGTGTCTCTTATGAGGACTTCTCTGTGTCTGGCATCTGCAAACCCTGCTGCCAGTCAACAATCAAGCTTCACTTGGTTATCTCAAGTTTAGTACTATTCTTCTGCCAAAGCAGCAAAGCTTTGATCTTTCAGAGGAGAACTCCCTAGTAAGACACAATTGCCATTGGTCTTTGATTCAACTCCCATGAGGAGTAGGCTACCTGTGTCGCTCAGTTGGTAATTCACAAACAATCCATCAGTTTTATGCACTAGCTGAGCATGGCGCACAGAGTATGAAGAGATTGCTGGACACGTTCAGTTATCTTAGGCAGCAAGGAAGACCATTTCCTGGTTATCAGGACCTGAGTTGCATCCCACTACACCTTTGGCCCATTTATGAAGACGGCTGTAGAGAGGGAAGCCTTTATTCTCCCGATAGATACAGACCCCAGTGATGGCATCCCATTGTGGCCTGGGCTGGACATCTTCCACAGGGTACTCCTGTACCAATTCCTTTTCTTCCTTATCTAAGCATACAAAACCAAAGAATTTTTTGACATTGTTGGCAGCCATGACCTTAGAATGCACCTCTGCAGTGCGATGGAACAGTTTGGTCTCATTAGATCGGTATTGATCCCAGTAGTCCTCCTGCCGGTAGCTGAGTGGTGAGCAGCAATGCTTCAGGCATTTGGTGAGAAACACTAGAACTGCAACTACACCAAGGAGCATCCACCCAAAAAGCTGAAAGGAACAATAGTGTTAGTAAAAGAACAGGGCTTTGTTTTAGTTCCCCCCCCCCGCCGTAGTGTATTGAGCTGTGCTGCCTGATTATACAGTCTACCTCTCTTATATTCATGTAGAAAGAAGATGGATTTACAGCAGGCTCAAGGAAACCTGCATCTCCATATTTTGGCAGGTCCAGATAATTTCTAAGTTTGTTTCAATTAAGCATTGTGAATGTCTACTTTGGAAAGCATCTGAATACATCTTCAATAGCTCCAATATTTGAATTTAATTCACTGGTAAAGGTTTTTCTGGATTAGGAATCTAGATTCTTGAGAATGATTGTCTATTATTAAAATAACCTCAACATCTCTAGAAAAGAAACATCAGAATAAATTCCTTATGCAATACTAAGGGCCAAGAACAAGACTGTCCTACTTCCAACATGCACTGACTTTAAAAAAAGTCCCTACATTTTGCAGTATTATTAGCTGCTTTGGGGCACATAAATGAAAAAGGTGAGGCAGAAATTATGTAAATAACTGTAGGAATAGACATGACATAGATGCAAGGATATTTTCCCTTCAGAATCATTGGTTGCTGCCACTGACATTATACAGAGATATATCCCCACAGTAATCAATCAGATAAACAAGTAGGCAGCATTCTACTTCAGAAATAAGTAAGTAAAATATGATACCTGTGATTCATATTTTAATCGCCTTATAACTTCATCCTTAAATATCGTCAAGTTTCCCGGCAGATCGTCACAAGGGAATCTGGCCATGATATCGGCTCCATAGCCAGGTGGAAATTCATACAAGGAGGAAGGATCCATAAATTCACTCATGGCACAGACATAGGCCTCTCCACGAAGCAGGGAAATCATCGACCATGTGACAGGAGCCACTGCAGCTCGCCCCATGACTGAGCCAAAGATCAAGCAGGTTGCTGCTGCTGAAAAGTTCTTGGTTCCTCGTCTGTGACATTCTGCTACCAGGCTCCAAGTGTGGTTGTTCCAGATGACACCAATAAGGAACAAGGCCAGGGCTGGTACACCCATGGCAGCCAATCCGTAGATGTAGTTCCTAGCTGGGGAGCATGGGCAGTGGAATGCAACTACTGAGAAGATTTCCTGGCTTCCAACTGTGCCCAAGGCAACCAGGCCATTGAAAATCATCACATCTTTGCTCTTGAAGAATAGCGAGAGGAAGCGGAAGTTTTCTGCAAGAAGTGCAGCCATCTTGTTTTCTTTGTCCAAGTAGAACTTTCAGTGTTGTGATGTGGGGCCAGCAACAAGGAGCCTTGTTCTTATCTCTCATGGACTGCAAGAAGAGAATTATCACTAAGAATTTAAAATGGAACATTTTCATGGTTACCCAGTAGAAACATTCCATCTGAGCCTCTCTTTAATAGATATACTAGCTGGGTTTATGTTTTACTATGAGTGCTAGTTTCTAATACATATTCAGTCTGTACCTAACTAGAAATTGTTTGCTAATTGAACTTATTTGATTGACACTCTGCAAGGAAGTAGATCTCACATTTCTGATGGCATGTAGTGAAAAATAATTTTCTAAACTTGGTTAGTATTTTAGGAGTGAAATGTGTGTGAATCAAAACAAAATATAGGGATGTGCTATTTGAACACAAAAATGTTCTCTTTGAGTTGGATGTACATGTTAAAAGTTATTATTTCAAAGAAAGGAGAGGATGTCTCCAAACTTACCACCACTGAAGTTGCTTGTTTCCCTCTGTCAGTTTTTGGAGGATGTGTACTAATAAGTAAGTTTCTCCCCGCTACCTTACCTACAGACTCCATTGGTCAAGCTGGAAGAGAATAGGGAAC